ACTTTATTTCAACTTTCTTTTTTGCTAATTATGTATTCGCTCGAACTTCGTTAAAACCTCAACTGTACCCCGAACAACAACCGAAGTTGTAGGAGGAAATTCGCGTATTTTACCGATCTAGGTATCCCCCCTTTTCCAAATTTTAATATCGACTCAAATTAATAATGTAATAATAAATAAGTTTTAATAAAAATTATAAAATGTAAATTGAATTTTGTCATAACAAGTTTGCTTAAATTTCCTTTCTTCTGAGATCGCAGCAATGCGCAACGGATAAGCTAGTGTAAAATAAAAATTTAGTTTTATTATTTTTTAACACCATTTTGCTTCATCAGAGTAGTTACGCTTAGAGCTGCGTAGAAAATACATTGAATTGCATACATAATTTATTATGTTTTTAAAGATAATTTGTGTATAATCAGATAATAATGTATTTGCTGTTTTTAAATGCAAACATTTTAAAAATTTAATTTAATGTTTTTAATTTTTTGTTTGTCTATATATCAATCGTGTGTTCACTTTTCTTACGTTTTTTATTATATCAACATAAATTGTTTCCTCCTAAAGTATATGTTAAATTAAATTAAATTAAATTTAAATTTCGTTAAATTACGTTAAATTAAATTAATTAATTTTCAATTAATTAATTTAATTTAACGAAAATTAAATTAACATAATCTAGATATTGATAAAAATATTTTACTATTGTAAGCTAAAAAAGAACACTTTCTATTAAAGTTGTATATCATTGTGGTTTATACACTATTTAAGGCATAGTTGTAAGATTAATGGGAATAATTATAATGTTATTCCTGTTGTAATCAATAATGTTTCTGTTAATGTTTTATAATGTTAATTACAAACTTTATTCGTCCTGCTGATGAAGGATGATGCTAAATAAACTTATTTTTCTTTTATTTATGACGTATATATTTCAATTCACATAAAAAAAAATCGTATATTATGCAAGAAATAAATAAATAAAATATTAAATAAATGATTTTTAAATAAATTTGCATATATTTCAGCAAAATTTGAAAAATTACGGCACATTTGTATATTCCGCATTATAACACGAATATTCTTTAACACAAATTCGAAAAGTTTCAGAAGAACACTTGCTTTATTCTGCACTTTTATGAATACTCTTAGTCTGTGGCAGTCAACCTGACAACACCATGCATGCTGGGATTCCAGAGGTTTAACCCACAATTGCTAAGAATTGTAAATTAAATTTAAAAAAAAACAAAAAACACATATTAACTTACATTTATTTTGGTTTTATTCGAGTAAGGTAACGCGTAAATGGGCGATCTGCCAAGGGGAATTCTTCCCAAAAGATTTATCATGGGAAACTGTCCTTCGTTTAAATATTAGTAAAGTTGTGACAACCAGTTTAATGATGATTTTTACTCCTAATTACATTCACAATTTTTGAATAAATCTCACCTTTACCCTCAAAATTAAGTGTTGCCATTTTATAATAATTAATATTGTTCATGTTATTAGATGATTTGAATATTAATTAACCGAAGTAATTGCTTGTAAGAACTTATCGTTAATATGAGATTTATAAATATGCATGCATCAAATAAAGATCAGTTCTTCCATACAAAATCCATTCAATTTCATTGCAGTAAATTAAGATCAGATAACTTTAATATACATTTCAGTTACGAGAGAAGAACTGATCTTTATTTGATGGAATGAAATTGAACTTCAATTAAAGTTAACGTAAATTTAATGTATATTAAAGTTACAAGGTGCATTTCCAGATATAGAAAAATAAGTTTCAATCTATATATATAAAATTGCTTGTCATGACTGACTGACTGACTGAATGACTCAATGATTCATCATCGCCCAGAGCAAACCGCTGGACCTAAAGAGGTAAAATTTGGTGCACAGTTAGGGTACGTCATGAAAACGCACACTAAGAAGGGATTTTTAGAAATTCCCAAGTGGGGGAGAGGGAGAGGAATAAGGCTTAACCGGAAGAACGGCTTCTACTGTACTATTTTAAATGAGATTTTTTGTTTTCAACTACGTTTAGTCTTCATTGAGTACTTGGGTGTATTAAATTGATAACATTTCAGACATTGTTATAAATATTTTCATGTATTTCGATTTTTCAACCGTTTAAAATTCGAATTTGTTATTGCATATTGGTTTGATTATAGAACGATTGTAAACGTTCCAGAAAATTGATAAAATTGAAAACAGTTCGTTTGATTCTCGGCAATTCTCATCATTCTTAGCAATTACTACGGTTGTTGATATTCTGAATATAAATATGTTTGCTTGCAAAATCCGCGCGGGCGAAGTCGCGGGTAACAGCTAGTATTAAGTAAAGTGACTTACCCGCAATACGAATTCGTATAAAATGGACGCCTTCTATAATAATTTGTTGTTAGTTGGCTAATGTGGACTTCCAAATGTTACATTTCACTTTTATTTCCTCTACTGAAATAGTGTTTCTGCCTTTCCCATTTCCCTCCATTATTCTGCATTTTCTCGGCTTTTTCTTCCGTTATTTCTTCTAAAACAAAAAAAAAGTTTTCGGTATTTTTCCTGGAAAGTGTCGGCGATATGAAAATGGCGTTTGGATTCCGACTAACAACAATGGCGTTTGTATTGTCGATTCGGTAACAATCATCGATGAAGCTGGAACCTAATTATTGTCGTCGATGACGTTCGGCGAATGACGTCGCGTTACGTATAAAATTTCTTACGGTTTTTTGAATTGTAAATTTCGTAAAAAATTTACTCCAATAACAAAGAATTTTTAAAATTGGCTATCGTAATGTTTTATTAATGTGAAAGAAAATCTCCATTTACATTCTGTACGAGAAAGAGAAAGAATAGTAAAATTAAATTAACGAAAATATTTGAACAATTTACAAGTGAAATAACATAACTTTTGCAAATTATTAGAATGATTACGGTAACAAGATGGTTTTGCTCGCAATTTGTGTACTGCGCTATCGAGAGCCGAAATCCCAGTAGTACTTATGAATAACCCGGTGTATATATGTCTATATATACAAAGAAAAAATGGCAGTAGGATATTAATTTATTACCAGGAAATTTATTTATTTATCTTATTTACATGTTTATTTAAATGTACATTCGTAATCAATTCTGATGGCGCAAAATCTTATAAATTTACCAAACCGTAGACTCGATTTGAATGTCTAAATAATTGCAATTTTATGTCTCAAATATACAAAACAACTTATTGCTCTAAATTAACACTTCAGACAACGGGATTATCGAGCGGTCAAGTTGGCAGCCTACCGCTCGGAAGATTCGGGATCGCATTTATACAGGGTCGGAAAAGTTTCGGGGATAGTCCGTCGGAATAATGGTTATGTCGGCCAAGCCCCAAAGTGAACCTGGCCGAACCCATAATGGGTTTGTTAAAAAAAAAACCCTCTTAGTACCCGCAAAGCAGAAAGAATTTTTTTAAAATAAATAACGCATCAACCAATTCTGTAAGTCTTCTGATTAATTCTGTATGGTTGTAAAGTTGAAATACTTTATATTATATGAATGCGAAAATATCGAATTTTAATTGCTTTTCTCTTTGCGGAATAAATCGCCTCCATTAATTATTATCGTTATTTTAAATACTTTTTCAATATTAAATTCCTGTAGCAAAATTGATTTGCATTTAAGTACTTAGTCTTAATATCGCCCGACAAATAATCCGGCAGATCGTATGGCAATATGAATACTAAATTCAATTTAAATGAAACATTTGGCATCTAAAATTAATTTCGAATTAGCTCCTCATAGATTAAAATATATTTCAGAGCATAAAATATACAAGAAGTCAGCACTTCAAAACAACTGTTCTTCCATTGTCATTCCTAATCACCGTTATATTTATTTTCGCGCTTAATAGATCGTCCTCTTTCTAAATCAGTTAGCCTAATAAATGTGGCAATAATGAATTGGAGGGCTTATCTCATCAGGGACTGACTGGAGCAAAATAGACTAAATTTTTACAAAAACTAGCCTTTAATTAATTAAATCAAATTTTTAGTGGAATGCATTTCGGGCATAGAAACTCATCAGCCTAATACACCCATACAGTATAAACACAAACATCTATCAAGACCATCCTAACATAAATAGCAATTCCAGACTAATACATTATGGAATTACATTCATCTTTATATTAACGTGAAAGTTGACATAATAGTGAGCAATCAATGTAACGTGAAATCATCAACCAATAAGGCGCGCGATTCTTTGCGCAGTCTCTTACATGTGAGAGGAGTCATGTGACGTCACGTGCACCCCTCTTTAGCAGAAACAGAAAAAAAACATGAACACAGAAGCAGAGATATGTTTAAACTGCGTTTTGTCTTCGTTTACGGCTGTAGCCAGAGTTTACGGATGGACTTTTTTCCTTCCTTGTTCCTGCCTTAACAGAAATGATGTTAATGTTCACCCAATTATAACAAAACTTTATTCATTCTTCATCGAATATTTCTACTGGATATTTTTCTGTTTGGTGTTTTCCATGATGATACCGGTTTTATCGGAGATTATCCCTTGTCAATCCGGGTACTTGCTAGTCAAATATGGTCATCTTCGTGAAAGTGGCTATTACTAATTTCCTTTTAACTGGAGCAATCGCTTTCAGTATTATAAAGAGAGCGAAATTAAACCCGAATATTAAATTGACGAAGCCAGGATATTTCTGTCGAAAAGAATTCTACGACGTCATAAATTACTCTACAATTGTGGCTTCTGTGTTTGTTGTATGTTTCTCTATTTGTAGCCAAGCTGTAATCGTTTTTTATCTTTATCCTGTTGTAGACCAAGCAAACACTTTCGAGCACGAAGCACTTTTTTGCAGCGTAGAAATTGGCATTTACTTTAATTTAATTATGGCCAGAATATTCTATATAAGTTTTTTTGGTGTTTCGTTCTTAACTATATTAATGAAGATTTTCCAGAAGCTATCGGAAGATCTGCAACTACTAAAGATGAATCATCCGAATCTGGAAACAGAATTAGAAATAATTATGACACAACACGATGAACTTTGGGATTGTTTTAATCAATGGAATGGCCCATTCAATTACGCATTGAGAGTTTTGTATGGTTATCTAATAACCGATTTATTCGAAAATGGAATTTGCGGTGACAGTTTTGTTTTGCACAGTTTGTGCTGCACTATCATGCGGTTGTGTTCTAGTTGGATTTTTACTATCCACTTTCACATCTATTGTAAGTTTCGTATTTTATTAAATGCGCTATTCCATGTTTTATTAATGTGTAACATGATTTTTTTCTTTCTTTCAGATGCAAACATCGTTTCAAGACATTCGAAGATTCGCTCAATGCGATTTGAAATTAGAACAGAAATTAAAAGTAAACCTTCTGTTATAAAATAAAATTGGAAATACTTTTTAATTTGCATAAAATAATTTTATGAATTTTGTACAGATTGTGAATTTTATAAAAAGATTTGGGAAGGCATCTTTATGTTTATCCATCAACGGTTTCTTCGATATTACCAAGAAGTTTCCTGTCAAGGTATGCGAGTCAAATAACTCTTTCAATATATTAATGTATTATTTAAACAAATTTGATTTTGCAGATGTCTAGCGCTCTGAATTCTGTGTATGAGGGTCTCTTAGATTTGAGGACGGTTTCCGAGAAGAAAAGCTGTTCTGAGATTTGAATGTAATTTCTTTTCATAATTAAGACTTATTATGTGTTTATATGTGATAAACTATTATCGTTTCTTCTCACTTTATTTTAGTATTGTGGTAATTTAAATTGTTGATATTAGAATTAATCTTTTGAATCATATTTTATTTCAATGATATTACATTTATATTTATTTAAGCAATTTATGAAATTGCTTAAATAAATATAAATGTAATATCATTTAAATATTTTAAAAATTTTCAATACAGCATATTGAAGTTCGTAACAATTTTATACGAAATTTTTTCTAATAGTAGAAATTTGTAAAAGCAAAGAAATTCACTTATTGTAATAACTGTGATTGATGATGATAACATTCCGGGCGGAATCGCGTATATGTTACCATCCCAAATCTACGTAACGCATGTGCTCGATCAATCCCGTTAATTGAATTGAGGAATAAAATAAAAGGAATAAAGTGGAACATAACGTTACATTTTATTATTCTATGTATAATATAGAATGCAGTGACAAACACTATGATTAACTGTGCAACACTGCAGAAAGAAAAGAGAGTCTTTCTGTTACTCAAAGGTTGGAAATCTACTATTACGTAACACTAAATATACTGGAGCTTAATATTAACAATATTTATATCTAAGCACTTTAAAAATAATAAGCAAGAAATAAATTAGAAATGTAAAAAATTCATATGCAAATAAATCCAGAGGTAAGCTAGAAAACTTATCATAATCTGCATTGTCTTAAATGAATTTTGCCATTCTGGATAAGTCAATTTTTCATTTTGTCAGCATTACATCAATGTCAAGTTAGGAACATTCTTCAAAATGTAATTAAGTTTGCATTAAAACGAAATAATTTTTTTCTTATTTGTTTTGCATTTTATTTTTATACATATTTCGTCTCAACCTTTATTCTTCACATTTTCTATTTTCAACTGCAGCATTAAATTTGTAATTTTTATTATTAGTGTAATGTAATAAAGTATGGAAATGTACAGTACTGTACATAGAAATTCTATGGTTACTTAATAAGTTGGTTTTTATATTACTAAAAGAAAACTAGTTATTTATATTTGTACATATTTAAACAATGTTAAAAACAACACATATTTAATTTTAATTAATGGAAAGATAAAGCTAATTTTTAAAACCAAATGATAAAAGTAACATAACAAATATGTAATTAAAATGAATAAAGTTCTTTAATAATTGTGCAATGCCACAATCAAATTTCGACAGCAACTCATCCCTAAATATATCTCTTTTAGAACAGAATTCCTTGTTTATTGGCTTGCAGATTCTAACCCATATCAAGTGTAGTGTAACAAGTGAATTCAAATCTGTCCAAATTAGATTTGAACCCAAAACAGAGGTAGAAACAATACTTTGCAATGTTCCATATTATAGAATTGTCTGATATGGAAATTCGAACCCACAACAGATGAATAACAACACTGGCAAATTCCTCATTAAGCAACCGTATGAAGTAAAAATCAATCCATAATGGACAAAAACAAAACTCTCCTTCAGTACGTTCCTCATTAAACGATTGTCCAAATCGGGATTTGAAACCGCAGCAAACCGAGGAAATACAGTACATTAATACATCCCTCGAAACGAAATTTAAACCTATAACAACACAAGGAATACAGCATTAACGAAGGCCTATTTCCATCAGGCATCATCATTAATGCAAATTATGTAAAACTATTACTACATTAATTTATATAATAGTTATGTTTACATCTTTAATTTTCATAGTATATATAATTTTTGTATGTATAATTGGTTAAAATTCTGGCAAATCACAGTCAGTATATAATATATTTTAAATTTTAATCGTCAAAGAACAATTATGGAGTAAATTTCAAGAAGTTTCTTAAATATATATGCTATCTCTTGAAATAATTTTTAACATTTTTGTTAACAAATGTAACTTTAAAAGATGTATTTATGACAAAGACAATTTGGGACTGTTTTTTTTTGTATCATTTTACTTAATTTGATAAATTTTTAATTTGCAAATAAAAGTTTTTAATACAATAACTATATTAATTACATTATTCTGACTCTTCATTAACTATCTTTCAGAAAAATACCACAAAGCAATAAAAAGAATTTAAAATAATTTTTAAGACATATAAGATTAGTATAGATATATATTTATATATATATATATATATATATTTATATATATA